GCAGAGGGGTCGATGAGCGTCCATGTTGTTCCGACCTTCCAAGTTCCTGTGTTTTATCATGTAAAGTAATATCACGGGGGGTTGACTTAGTGGGACTGTAGATGAAGAGGTGGTGAAATGCCAAGGACCAGAACGTGGGTGGGCGGGCAGAGCTTGATTTGCGGCCCCTATCCAAGATTGGCAGCACTAATATTAGGCCCATTGCAGCCCCTGAGAAGGTGGCGTACCACGGTGGTCCCCTCCGAGTGGCTCACGTACCAGATACATTCGGCCAGCGCTCCGGCTGGCACTACTTGCGGCCTGTAGGGGGCTCTCGGGGCCTACTCCATCAAGTATCGGTGACTGTGCATCGATGCAGGTCGGCAGGTGCCTCCACTGGGTCCATTGTCTGTTGCATCCTGGATTGGGCGGGCTTCATCGCGTCAACGTGAACCTCAATTTCCAGAACCAGACCGTGTTCTCTGCCAGAGCAACAGGAGAAGGTCGCCTCTTCCCAGCTATCCCAGAACCTGGTCAATCAGTTCGAGTGCAGGTACCTCACAAGCAGGCAGGAAAGGTAAAGGAAGGTTGTCCCTCTCGTCTCCCTTCCCTTCCCCTCCCCTCCTTTTCCTAGTACTTTTTATTTTTATTTTATTTTAATAATTGCCGACACATAGGTATCTTGCTGCACCTGCACCAGCACCCCGACTAAGCCTCCCACACACCCCTCCCACTCTCCTCCTTTTCCCCCCCTCTCCCCTTCCCGGAGGACAAGGACCAAACACGTAGAGGCGAACCAAGGCGGGAAAAAAAAAAAAAACCCCTCTTCACCCTCAAGCAGCCTCCTTTTTAAACTCGATCCCTCAGAGTACCACGCTATCAAAGCCTTCCCTTCTGGCTCCCTTCTTCGTTTCTTCCCTAGATACCACCAGTTGCAACCCAAAGCCGTGCTTAGCCAAGGTTCAGTAGCGGCTCAGGCCAGAAACCGGTGTCTGTTACCATTTACCCCTGGGACCCCCGAATTGCATATTGTTAAAGTACCTGTCGCTACCCCACGACACCTTTAACGAGTGCTTGGCCGTCCCGTCCGCTCGCTCGCTCTCGTTTTGCGCGTCCTGTCCTTATTTTTATTTTTATTTTTTTGGCATCTGAGCTGTATCAAATTGCTCCGCCAACACCAACAACCACCGCCCTCACCACCTTCACCACCCTCGACCCTCCACCTTAGCCTCAGACGTCCTCCTCATCACCCTGTCCTCTCTCCCACCACATCGCATCACCTTAACGACACAATGGGCGCCGACGAGAAGACGCGCGTCTCGGGCGAGGTCCCTCGTGGAGAAAACGGCTCTATCTTGCCCACGACGAACCCAGACCTCGAGAAGTCCCAGCCTCCCAAGGCTGCCATTCACCCTGCGCTATACGTCATGTAAGAAGGAACCAAATGATTGCTTTGTTCAAAGCAGTGGGCCCTTCGCAACGTGTTGCTGACTTGCAATCCCAGCGTCTGGATCTCTCTGTCCTCCTCCGTCATTCTCTTCAACAAATGGATTCTCGACACCCTCAATTTCCGTAAGCCAGATCCCTCTGCCAAGCGATCACTGCTGACAAGGCTAATCGAGCACAGGTTACCCGGTTATCCTGACGACCTACCACTTGACCTTCGCGACCATTATGACCCAGATCCTCGCGCGCTGGACTACTGTCCTCGACGGACGCAAGTCGGTTAAGATGACTGGTCGTGTCTACATGCGGGCCATCGTGCCTATCGGCGTGTTCTTCAGCTTGAGCTTGATCTGTGGCAACCTGACCTACCTGTATCTCTCCGTTGCCTTCATCCAAATGCTCAAAGTAGGAATTCTATAGTCCGACATCAAATACCCAACCGCTAACAATCACAGGCCACCACACCCGTCGCCGTTCTGTTGTCTGGATGGGCCCTTGGTGTCTCCCAGCCCAACCTCAAGGTTTTCCTCAACGTCTCCATCATCGTTGTCGGTGTCATTATTGCCTCGATGGGAGAGATCAAGTTCGTTTGGATCGGTGTCATTTACCAGATTGGTGGTGTCATCTTCGAGGCCCTGCGGCTCACCATGGTCCAGCGCCTGCTCAGCTCTGCCGACTTCAAGATGGACCCCCTTGTGTCTGTCTACTACTTCGCTCCCGTCTGTGCTGTCATGAACTTGGCTGTTGCCCTCGTATGGGAAATTCCCAAGGTCAGCATGGAACAGGTTTACAACGTCGGACTCTTCACCTTCTTCTTGAACGGACTCTGCGCTTTCTTGTTGAACGTCTCCGTCGTTTTCTTGGTAAGTGCTCGTGCGCATCAAGGAAACATTCACGTGCTTACCAGAATCAACAGATCGGCAAGACATCTTCTTTGGTCCTGACCCTCTGCGGTGTTCTTAAGGACGTCATGCTAGTCGTTGCGTCAATGATGATTTGGGGCACGCAGGTCACCGGTTTGCAGTTCTTCGGCTACAGCATCGCCCTCGGCGGCATGGTCTACTACAAGCTCGGCTACGAGCAAATCAAGGGCTATATGGGCGAGGCCGGCCGCCAGTGGGCCGACTTCGGCCAGCGCAAGCCCATCTTGCGCAAGCTCAGCATTATTGTGCTCTCTGCTTTCGTCCTCTTCACGCTGCTCGGTGGCCTGGCCCCCACATACGCCCCCGAGTACGACCCCCACAACCTGATCAACGAAGTCAACAGCCACTTCGGCAGCAGCAGGGCGTAGGTCACAGGATAGACGCAACCTCCTTGGCCTACCATTTCCTACTTGTAAGCGTAGAGATGTGACGATACCAGATTCTCTTCCGCGACGAAATTACCCTGTCCAGAGTACATATTACGAGCTTCTCTTCATCCTGCGCCCATTGACCCCATTTCTTTTTAATCCGGAGGAGATCGGAACGTTTGTTTGGGAAACTACCCTGTGTACAGCTATAGAGCAAAGGCGCAGAGCGCAGAGGGTCTAGGTTGCATGGCTCTCATCATGAAGTTCTAATCTGATGTACTCTAGACGGCGAAGGATATAGACGTGTACGTACGCAATGATACAAAACTTGAACCAACATGTCCAGGGTTCTACGTGATGCAGTGTGCATGTCGAGGCGCAATGTGCTGGTATGCAGCAAAAAGCCCTGGTTGATGTTTCGCAAACCGACTGCTAATCTCCCCCCATGTTCGGTCTGCACTCAGAACCCGTAGAGTTGATAAAAGTACAAAGTAGAAATAGCCACGACGTTGAAGATAATGACAAGAGATGGTGATGACGACTGCAGAGACGGTAGAGCCACACGAAGTATGTGTGGTTGCTTCAGCAAAGTCATGCTGGAGGTGGCCTCTTTGAAGGGGTTCGATATTCTACGGCGCATGCCGCTCCGTAAAATATGGCATGGAGCTGTACCCAAAAATCCCGTCTTGCACCAAGCCTATGCAAACTTTAGGCGTGTGCATGCCGCGGGTTGCTGCAAACCATTGGAACACACTAGAGGTCGACCTTGAGCTACCGAGACAGTGGGGTCGGTTGCCAAGTGCGTGATGAGCAGCATTCACGAACGATGACAGATGAGAGACTGAATTTGGCTTGCTTGAGGTGTTCATTTTCATTGATCGTGGCCGTCTCCCACGGCCGAGGGCTGAATTGTGCCCACCAGTCATCAAAGACCTTTCTATCACTCTCTTCGGTCACAGTAACACAATCCACACCTTTTGAGGTATCACAGGCAAACGTCTTGATTTCAATGGTTTCTCATTGGGAGCCCTTAAACCGAGGACCTCAGATGCCAATTGATGCTCTTTACAAGCCAGCCCAACTCCCCGACCTGTTGACGATTGCAGAAACGGATTCCCTTTTTAAAATCCTATTGCGAGTTAGCCAGGTGCTCATGCGCATTTGTCACCCTTCAACCGAGGCGATGCCATGCACAATGCCCATGACGGACGGTAAGGTATCACATACTCAGAGGCGTGAAGAACCATCTGTTCTTGCCGCTCGTGTAACGCTCCTCCAGAACCTTCTTCACCGTCTTCTTGGCGTCCTCACGCTGGGTGACCTCCTTGAAGGTGTCGTTGGAGACGACGCCCTTGAGGCCCTCGAGCTCAAGAGTGTAGCGAGTGGGCATCAAGTGGTTGTAGTTGACAAGCTTGACGAAGGGCTTAATCTTGTTGCGCTTCTCCTGGCGGGTCTTGGACATGCGGCGGGTGATCTTGGAAGGGTAGCGCTCGATTCCGGCGACGAGGGCGTGGCCGAAGGGGTGAGCCTTGTTGCCGGAGTCGACAGGCTGGATGATGACGACCTAAAAAAGAAGAAAAAAACGGACGTCAGCACTGTCTGGTCTCGTGTCCACGTTGAACAGCAATATCTCCCAGTCGAGCGGTATTGGAAATTTCAGCGTCGTCGTCGGGGTCGTCGAAAGAGCTTTGATCGATCGCAGTCCTCCTCTTTTGTTTCGTCTTCGCGATGCACATCCCCCACCCGGTACCTCCCATCTCCGTCCGGCGACGTGAAATTTCCATCCCCCTCGACAGGAGGAATTGCGTGCGCTGCTCAAAGGTATTCGTTCTGAGATCGTACCTTCTTGCCGGCGTAGCGGCCGTGGGTGATGATGGCGACTCTGCCGACCTTAAGGAACTTCATGGTGACCTGCGTTGTCGGGGCTTTGGGCGTACTGAGGTGAGATTGTCGACGGACCGCTTGCCTGAATGTTCGTTGTAGCGCGAAATTGAAATTTCGACTGCGACGTGTGGGTGATTTTCGACCTAAAGGCACGTGCTCGATCATGTGACTATGATCTCCCCCGACCTTTGTCCCACCCCGCCCGCCGCGGTCGTGTCCGAGCGTCTGTGCTGTCTCTGTAAGGCAACACTACTCTGGGTAGGTAGGTACCTGGGCAGGGCGCCTTGGGTCGACGCTGTTCTTTGCACCAGTTCCCGTGGCTCGACAACGACGACACACTACATTTCTACTCGCAGTCACTTTCCACACTAAAGCTCAAGGCTATCCCTTCTTGCACACAATGGCCGCCCCTCCAGCCTACATTATCTCAAAGGTCGCAGACCCCGTATTCGCACTGGTTATTGGTCTCGGTGCTGCTGCCACGCGAATCAATCGTGAGGAAAAAGAGAAAGGCAGGACGACTCAGGAGACTATCGCCGCTGCCCAGAGGCATGTCATTTCCTATTGTTGAATAAGATAGCTTCTGCCTCTCTTCGTGGACTGGACTGACTCTAGCGCGTGTCACACAGGCGACTGAGAACGCCCAAGTCTTCCTCTTGAATCTGAATTTCTGCATATCATGACGAGAGCTCAAGGGAGAAAACGCGATGCACAGCAGTACAACCTGGTTCATTGAGACGCAATGCCTTACGATCTATATCTGTATATCTTTAATCATCGAATGAAGGGCCATACTCCTTCTTCATCGCCTCTCGGACCATCTGGCCACACAGCTTCGCCGTTGGGTTTGTGCTGACTGCCAAACCTTTGGCTATGTCATTTCCGTATCTGCCGCCCAAAGCAAAGTCGCGCGACGCCGCCTCCTCGAATTCAAGTTTGCTCCAGTTACTCTCACCTCTTCCCTCGTCCACTCGCACCTTGAAGCGGGGCACCAGCTTTGCGGTCATGTGGTATATGGCTGCTCGCTGTGTATAGGCAAGAGACAAGGTCTTCGCCGCTTGAGGCGACATGGCGCCGTGAATTGTACGGGGTGTCAGAAGCACGATGGATCTCTCAATGTCTTCCAGGGCGACCTTGGCTTGGAGGCTCAATTCAGCAACATCAGGATGCTTAACGAGCCGCTGACTGGTTACAGGCGCCTCTGCCAGTAGCAAGGTGTCCCCATAAAGGCGTCGAAGTGCCTGTACACGGTTGTTTCTCGCGCTGGCATAGTTGGGGTACTCGGAGATGAAACCCTCCAGCTTCGACAAGAGAGCCCTGTACTCCTGGACTGGCTCAATCGAAGTCTTTGGTCTCAAGCCAGCCATTTGGAGCTCCAGCTGCTGCATAGACAGGATAATCTCCCTCTCTTTCTGGATGACACGCTCGTAGACGGATGTGTCGGTGATTTGAGGGTCGCGAGGAAGCGACGGATCGAGCAGGATGTTGGCTGAGGGATCGGATTCAGGATCTTTGATCTTGTCGAGCACATTGACGTCGTGCTGGCTCAATCCCACGGCCGCCATTTTATTGGTATTTGTTGAAGGTAGCTATCAATCCCAAAGTATGCCGTTCGTCTTTTTCTTGGGGAGCTGGCTCAGTATAAGTTGATAACCTGTTGTTGCGAGAGGGTTACCCGAATGCCCGACTGTTTATGGACCTTGCACTGGGAACACTTGACAACTTGCGCGGCAACCCCAGGAGACTTATCAGACAATGGTGCTGGGGCGGATGCAGCGGGTAGCCGAAGCGCGTCTGAACATTCCGCACATCAACGGCTATGGAAGGGTTTCAAAGGAGAAGCGATAAGCAATGCCGTCATTTGTGGTGGGTAACGCGCGCCCGCACGCACACACACATTGTACCAACCCTCGGTTTACCAGAGAGTGTCGGAAACAGCGGCTGCGACTGCTATAGCTCTGACATCCTTTGTTCGAGGCAAGTACCCGTTGGGATAGCGGGCATAGCCTGGAGCATCCGAACCATGGTGGGGACCGTCAAGCCGCGCCGCGCACATGGTCCGGCCAGGGACGGCTTATCTCGGCTCACCACGGCCATCTGCTCGGCCGGCGAGTTTCCGCACGCGATTACATCTTCAACATTGCACGGTTCTGCTCAACCCGCCGCCAACCTCTCCTTCCACTTTCGGCACCATCTGCTAAGGATCGAGGCGAGAGGATGGCGCCCAGCACGAATGTGTGCCGGGCCAGACATTGGATCAGAGGAGACCCGACCCCGGAAATAGCCACTAACAGGCGTTGGATTTGCTGCATTTGGAGCCGCCCAGTATGCGCCGTGGAATGCAAGGCAACACAATATCCCGTTGCTTGTGAGCGGAAGTCCGTCCTCGTTATGTTGTTTAAGGTTCATCAAGCATGTCGTGTTTCCAAGTACTTATATGGAGGGCGTGTACCAGGCACGACGACATCTATTTCCTTTCGCTCTCTCACCCCGACATCCGCTACCAACATAAGATCGATTCAGAAAATCTCACCACACGAACCAGCATCCATTCATATTTACGCTTGTGACATTAGGTCTCCTCCCCCCCGAAAACCGCTGAGTGTCAATGTCCCCTTCTGCAATCACAAACTCCCCGCCACAGACCGCCGCCTATCCGGCATCGACAGACCTCGGCGATGGCCTTGCAGTGCAGCATCCGCCCCCCAATTTCCGGGGCTACGACCACGTAACCTGGTGGGTGGGCAATGCGAAGCAGGCTGCTTCTTACTACAATAATCTCTTTGGGTTCAAAACCGTCGCGTACAAGGGACTCGAGACTGGCAGCAGGTACATCGCGTCATACGCCATCGCCAACAACAACGTCCGCTTCGTCTTCACATCCCCCGTGAGGTCTTCCGCCCACCTGCCCGAGGATGAGTCCATCTCTGACGCGGAGCGCAAGCTCCTGCGCGAGATTCATGCCCACCTCGAAAAGCATGGCGACGCCGTAAAGGACGTCGCTTTTGAGGTCGACAACGTCGAGGGCGTGTACAATAAAGCTGTCCAGGAAGGCGCTCGGTCGATCCAGCCCCCTATCGTCCTTACCGACCCTGACCATGGCGATGTGTTGACGGCCGTCATCTGCACCTACGGCGATACCACCCACACCCTCATTTCTAGGGGCAACTACAAAGGACCATTCCTTCCTGGCTTCCGCGCCGCAAAGCCGTCGACTTCCTCCATTGCCCTACCCGTGGCCCCCTTGGCCCGCATCGACCACTGCGTTGGCAACCAGTCCTGGAATGAAATGGTCGCGGCGTGTGCCTTTTATGAGCAATGCCTTTCCTTCCACCGCTTCTGGTCTGTGGACGACTCTCAGATTTGCACAGAATTCTCCGCTTTGAACTCTATCGTAATGTCGTCAGCCAACAACCTCGTCAAAATGCCCATAAACGAGCCGGCTCCCGGCAAGAAGAAATCGCAAATTGAGGAATACGTCGTATTCAATTCGGGGCCAGGTGTGCAACACATTGCCCTACTGACTCCGAACATTATCGAAACCGTGTCGGCAATGCGTGCCCGCGGTGTTGAGTTCATCGCCGTTCCTTCCACATACTACGATACTATGCGCCACCGACTCAAGACGGAGAAACGTAACTGGGAACTCAAAGAGGACCTGGCCACCATCGAGGCCCTCAACATTCTCATCGACTACGACGAGCAAGGCTACCTACTGCAATTGTTCACCAAGCCGCTGATGGATCGGCCTACTGTCTTCATTGAGATCATTCAGCGGAACCAATTTGAGGGCTTCGGCGCCGGCAACTTCAAAAGTCTGTTCGAAGCAATTGAGCGCGAGCAGGCTGAGCGTGGGAACTTGTAAAGCATGCTGCGTTGGCGCAGAAAACCCTGCCTGTCGCAGCACAACAGTGCAGGGGATGATTTCGAGTCGCTAGAACTGAAATGCACAAATAAGGAGGTGATTGCATTTCTTCATTAGCTGTGTATAGTAGCATGGGCTTATTATTAAATGTTTGCCGGATTGTATCCGTTGCACCTTCATCCGTTCTCTCGTATCTTGTGCCAACCCTCCAGTCCTATCGTGATACTTTCTCATGCGTCGACAGCCATTGCCGTCCCATTTAGCTGATGCTCATGTACCCCATTGGTCGCAACAACGTCATCCATCCTCGCTCCTCGGGTTCCACTCTGACAGCCGGGGCAATTGTGGATAACCTCATGAGCGTATACATCGCAGTCGATGCAGAAGTGGCTGTTGCACACAGTGCAGGCATATCGGCCGCTTTCGCTGACCCCTTTTAGCTCAGATGGTGCCACTGGAGTCGGAGCCATTGGCGTTGTTGTAGGCACCCCGTCAATGTCGTTCGCTTTTTCCTTGTCCCTCTTCTTAGAGGCCTTAGGCGGTTCTGGGAAGGCCGTGAGACAAGCGTAGCAGGCCTTGGAACCTCCGGCCTTGGCCCATGGTACCTCGACCCAGTTTCGAAGTGGGAATAGATGATGATACGAGCGAGCGAGGTGGGTGGATAAAATGAGTGTCAGACCGCACGCTGGGCATTCGATGGGTAGGCGACACACACGGGTGCTGCAACGAGTGCAGAGGTAGCCTTCACGAGCGGGCTTGTTGTGGCAAGCGCAAATGGCGGTGGCCTCACCCCGAACGAGTGTTCTTGATGGAAATCCTATCATGAGCAAGGATGCAGTGCTCTGCGCAGCGGTGCGGGTGACGGGCGGGGTGGTGGCAGCGAGGAGTAGATCTCTGAAGTGGGCATCGTTCATACAAACACTGTACTGAGTGTCATCACCGGAGTTTGTCCGGCTGCAAAGCTCGGCACAGATGGCAACCTGCGCGGCAAGACCGACGACAGAGACGCGGATACGATCGGTTATAAGAGAAGATATCGTTTCGTGAATATCAGCGGGATCGGAAGAGAGCAGAGCGCCGAAAACCACGAGCACCTCGCGGGTGCCATGCGAAGGGGCGTGACTATGATTCAGCCAGTCAGTGGATGTCCCAAACCAGAAGAGCGGGAGGTTGCACGTACAAAAGTGCACCGCGACACATCTCGAGGGCGTTCTGTAAGCTGGGGTTGCCTGATGGGTCTTGCCCCTCGAAGGACTTGAGCTTCTCAAGGTGGTCGGTGGGATTGCCACTCATGTCGCTGATTCTAAGAGCAACACCATCTCGCATCCCAATGATTCCAAGTTGGGAGATAGGGTTCTGCTCGAAGTACTCTTTGACGAAATCTGCCGCGTATGCCCAAGTGACGCGGTAGCGATTGGGTAGCATATCCTTCTCTGTCATGGCGAATGACATGTCCAATACGAGTACCAGATGTCGAATAATTCCCCGCTGTAACGGCGTCGTATCTTTGAGCAACCTCCTCCTCTTTTCAGCCTCAAGACTTGCACCAACCGCAAGGCTGCCGTCGGCGCCCTCTGTAACTTCCTCCCAACTGCGCTTGACGTCCTCCCACCGCGCCTTGGAGTGTCCACCCTTGCCTTTCTTGCCGCGCGCTTTCCCGGGTTTTCCGCCTGCGCCGTTGGCGTTGGTTACCCGATGATCGTGGAGATCGTCATCGGATATGTCCTCAACGTACTCGCCGTCGGAGTCGGCCATGGTAAATGGCGTCGGTCGGGATCGCTAGACGGAGGGATGTTTGGGTAGTTTCGGGGTGCGTGTGAGCTAGTGGATTTGAATAGGTAATTCTCATGGAGGTTTCAGGTTCAATCCTAGCATTCGTTTGAAAGGCGAGCACGAACGCCGCACTTTTTCGCGAGTTGTCGTTGTTGGACGAAATGAGCAAACAGGATCGCAAGGCTGCGGCGAAAAAGATCGCAGCCTTGTAGTTTAGGCCCTGCGCTGACCCCAACAGCCAATCAAAGCTGGCCAAGTGCACAACCCTTGCCAGCTTGCTTCACATGCCCGAATTCCATGTTGGCGACCCTCAGCAGAGACGTGACCCAAAACACAAGTGAATTCGGTGTTTTTCTTCGCATCCGTAATCATTGTTCTACTGCTTTGCATCTGCGCCTATTATCGTTCTCTTGTGTTGTCTGCTAACTGCTGCCGGAATTAGGCACGTAATGATTCCTGGGTGCCAAATCTTCGTCGACGGGGCTTCCGGTCTGCATAGTAGGCAGTGCAAACGTCATCGTCACAAGTCACTCCCAGAGAAAATTAGAGGGGTTTCTCCTCGATCTATTATGGAAGGTGACCCGACAGGCTTCAATATGTCAATTCAGTCATTCGACTTCTTATACATTAGTCGCTTCGTCTGGGTATAACTGCGTAAAATATCAAAGGCCATGCGCTGTACAGTAATCGACAGGCGAGCGTGCGTCCGTCATAATGCATCCAAGCGAGACTAGGGGAAACCACTTTTACAACCACCCAACTGCCATCTTCGCACACAGCTCGAGAAGACGTCGTTCACTACTCTCATGGCAGCGCGTCAGGCAGCCGATCTGCCTAGTACCGTATCCAAACTCCGTCGATGGTTGGGGAATCGAATTATAGAAGAAATAAAAAAAATAAAAATAAAAAACCGCCATGCGTGTCTCATGCCTTCAAATCAAATGTTCGTGCGAATAGTCTAGCCTCAATGGTCATTCGTGAAAGAATGACTGGAAAAGTATAACCGGGATCTCGATGGATTGTCTCTCCATGATCATGACCGCATCGCGGTCTGATCTTCCGCTGTCGTTTCCCAATGGTTCCTTTGGTACGTTGTCATCCGTACTTCGGGAAACACCAAAGTGCCTGATCCCAGCCTGGACGGCAGAGAGCTATGGGTATCTTAGTTGGTAGGCTGAGATACAGCGGGATTCTGAAGCAACCTTCGAGACGCGATATCCGTGGTGGGCGTTGCCATTGGGGTGAGTGACCGTCGGGTTGCTATAACATCATTAAGGCTCCATCTATGCCGGGCCCCTCTTCCGACACAAGTCGTATTTCCCGTTATGATGGCGGTGAAGCTTGAGGCCCTCGGCTCCCCCCAGACCTGTCAGTGAGTGTCCCTTATCTCTGCTCTAAGGGTATGCGTTTCCGACAGGCATTGGCCAGTCGTCTTCGGTGATGCTGGACCAGAAGATCCATACCGTCACGACGGCCAAAAGGGTGAAGAGCGTTTCAAAGAGGGCGCCGTCAATCTTACCCGAAGTGCCATTGCAGATATGGGAGCTGACAACGTAGTTGAAAATTTGGCCGATGGCGAATAGCAACAAGGCAGCCGTCAGGTAGATCATAGGTCGCATCTCACCGAGGATGCGAACGACGAGTATGGCCTCAAGTACGAAGAAGGCAACGAGAAAGACGAGAGGTGCCAATTGATACAGAATGTAGAGAGCAATGTGGCGGTTGGGGGGCGACTGATAAGACGTGTCCCAGTATCCGGTCCAGTGTAAACCAGTGTCGAGTGTGATGTATAGCGTGCCTCCGAAGAGTATCAAGGCGGAACCAAGGATGAGACCCATAGACAACGGCGTTCCATCGTCGACGATCTGGTAGCCAACAACAGCATTGAGCATCAAGATCCAAGTGGCCGCAATTATCATGCCAATGTGAATGCCAGTGAATGCCTTGGCATATGTTAGCCTACGCACCTCACCGTAGAAGATTTGGCCGTGACACTTACGATTCGAACGTTATCAGCCAGAGGGAAGTCTCCAACGGTGAAAATCTCGCATAATTGCAGGATGCCAAATGCGATCAGGAACAGTTGCATTTCCCTGAATGGTAAATCAGTACTTTTGGTTGCAAAAAAGGAGCACAAGCGCGATGCGCAAACAGTGCCGAAAGCTTACCTCCGGCCGACAGCGGCCTTTTTCCGCTCTGATCGGAAATACAAATAACCTGCCGTGAGGATGGCGATGAAGCAAAGCAAAACAGAGCCTAGGTTGCCCAGCTTGCGACCGCCACTGAGAGGAATTCCTGTCAATTGGCAACCGCCCCATGGTCCGTCCTGGCTGTGATTGTCGGAAAGCACCTAAACATGTCGTGTTAGACCGTCAACGCACGCCGTGTCAGGGATGGAGGCACAAGCTGTGGTACTACACACATTGCAGACGGGCAGCGTTGAATCCCGGCAAAAGTTCTGTGGAAATGGTCAGCATGAGCGGGAAGTCGGACTGTTCAAAATGCCACCACGCCCGGCAGAGAGTTATCAGTCAATGGACGGAACCTACGTAGAAGTTGCCGAATTGTGTCGAACCCATTGTGACGGACGTTTGCGGCAGAGTTCAACGGCTGAAATGCCAGTGTTTTGGATTTTGTTTTCCTTTCAACCCAACGGTTCGCCAACCGCGTCGTGTCACGTCAAACAGTGGCTTCGATGTTTCGACCCGGCGGCTTTTGGAGCTAGTATTAGGGCTGTGTTGTAAACTTGGTCATGGAGCCTCGGACGAGGTTGAGAAGGGCAGATGGTAACCGTCGTTCGCAATGCAACCCGATCCTCCAGGATTGTGTACAAAGATGTCTGAGGAAGGTAGATTCAGTCTTTGTACTGGTGGTTGCGGTGGTGGTTGTGGTGGTTGTGGATTCTCCCTCCTGGTTTCGAAGTCTCGTATTAAATTCTTCACTTAACGGCGATGCGACGACTTTCCCCCTCTTAACACGACACTCGCGGCGCTTTCTCTCTCTCTCTCTCTCTCTCTCTCTCTCCCTCTGTCTCTTTCTTTTTCTTTCTTTTTCTTTCTGCCTTTTACTAGCTGTCGATGAAAGAAGAGGGTAAGTAAGATTCTTAGACGACCCCGATACAACGCAAGGCGAATTCGCGGGGGGTGTTGGGTCGATGTTGCGACGGCGACGGTAAACGCGAAGTAGTGGCGAGTGCACTTCAGTGGTGGTTCAAAACGGGCAGGCAGAGGTAGGCAAACCGGGTGCAGCAGGCGCAACGGACGGAACGGAAAAGGCGCAGAAGAGAATAGCAAAGGCGGCCGCAGTGGGCAGCGGGACAATATAAGCCAACCTTGGAACTTGGTAGGGAGTGGAGGCCTTTGGGACACCTGGTCGTGGTACGGGCTCTCTTCCAGTTATACCGCCGGGATGCTAAGGCAGGAACAGGGACAGGAGCGACTGGCCATGGGGCCTGCCCTTGCAACCTTCGACGTGCCCTGCCATGCGACGAGCAATTGACCTCAGCCGTGGAAGATTTACGAGGATGAGAGGGTGTGAGCGAGACATGGAAAGACGAGGAAGAGGGTGGGCAGGCACGTTGCGACATGGTACGTGCCCCAAGATACAGGGCATGGCGCATCAAACTGGAAAGAGACGAGGGTAATAAAACGGATCCCCCGCCTGATGACGCTAGACCTATTGGCTCTCCCGACAAGCGGCTGCACGCGTCGTGATTGGACGATGTATCTTTGGGACGAAGGCCTTCCAAGCATGCGAACACAATTGGTGGAGCCTTTCCAAAAAGTGTACAGAGTAATTTGACCCCGGCCACTCTGTCACCCTGTGTGAAGCTTCCTCTTGTTCCTCTCTTTTTTTTTTTTTTTGTTTTTTTGTTTTTTTTGTGCTGTTCCCCTCCTCCTCTTGAACTCCTCTCTCTGCTGTCGTCGCGCCCCGTGTCTGTCTCCCAGCAAAACTCAAGGAAATCGTTGATGCGCTGCTAGCCCTGGAAAGTAGTGTGTAGGTACCGGATCAGATCACGGATACCGCTCTTCCCTTTTGCCGTACTGGATGGGTGTTCTTTTCATCTCAGTACTACTGCATAGTATGTTCTACCGTCTATCGCTCATCAGGGATCTGTGACTGGCGCTGGTAGGGGCAACGGTGCTATTCAAGGTGCTGCAAAAGACGATGCTCGTCCGATGTTGCTGGATGAATGAGGAGCATGCAGCAAGTGGTGGACAACATCTAGGTATTTGAGGTGCAGCTTGAGCCGCCACATCGTGGAGGAGTTCGCCTCTGGGCTCCATCCTTATTCCTTACCCTCTTCGCTTCCCGTTATGACGAGACCCCCCCCCCCCCCCCCCCCCCCCCCCCNGACCCCCCCCCCCCCCATCACCTCGGAACCAACGTCAGCATTCTAAGAAGTCGCAATGCAATGCGGGTACAGTGTGGTAAGGCAACGCCGAAAACCCCGGGACCTTGAGTCGACTAGCCTCTCCACTGCCAATTCAACCTCTCGCAAGACCAAATAAGAGCAGGATCAACGGCGATGGCTCGGCAAGGAAAAAGCAATTTGAAGTCGAGGTAATATGTCCATAATTTCATAGCTTTGTTATGCGCCATGGCCCATGATTGACAAGCTGGACCTGGTGCTGGACCGTCGGCCACTACGGTGCACTAACACGACAAGTGTAACGCACCATGCAATAGCATGCCATCCATACCTTAGCTTCATTCTCTTACCTTCATTTCCCTCTCGTCCACTGATTGTGGCCACAGACTGACCTTCTGGCCTGGTTCTCCCTCTGCGCTCCCTCTACATATCTCGACTTGCCGCGACCGCGAGCTCGTCCTGGTCTAGCACCTAGTCCCCGGGCCTGCGCCGGCGCCTAAGACCTCGGCGCCTGTGTCACCACCTAGGTCCATTATGTTCCTGCAATTGTATCACGTCTTCCTCGCTACTTTCGGGCGAGACGAAGACATTGAAGCCCCTAGTATTAACC